ACATACATACATACATACATACTTATATATATATATATATATATATATATATATATATGCCTGCCTGTCCAAATATCCATGATTGTGTGTGTGTATTTGTTAAGCGAATTTTGTCCATTTTACAACCTTTCTTGCCTCATTTGTTAAGTGAATCACTGCAGCTGATAAGCTAGTAACCCAGTTGTTAAATGAATCTGGCTTCCCTACTTCTTGTCAAAAGGATGTGAAACAGGATCTCATGATCCTGGGATATAGCAAACATCATAAATATAAACCAATTACCAAACATCTAAATTTTGATCACATGATCATGCGGATGCTGGAAAAGTTATAACTGTGAAAAATGATCATGTCACTTTTTTCAGTGCCATTGTAACTTTGAATGGTCATTAAATGAACTGTTGTACACTGCCTGCATTTATGTTCTCAGGGTAATTTGCTGACTTTCACCTATCATTCTCTCTTAGTCTAGCAATAGCCATAGCACTTAGACTTATATACCGCTTTATAGTGATTTACAGCCCTCTCTGAGCAATTTTACAGAGTCCTCAACAATCTACTCCAACAATCTGGGTCCTCATTTTACCCATCTTGGAAGGATGGAAGGCTGAGTCAACCTTGAGCCTGATGGGATCTGAACTGCCAAATTGCAGGCAGCCAATAGTCAACAGAAGTAGCATGCAGTACAGCACTCTAACCACTGCACCATTGAGGCTCTTCAGTCTAAATTGGAGGGGTTGTTGTGATGAAAATTTAATGCAACATATGAATAACTTAGAAAGCAGGACAAAAATGCAGCAACAGACAAATAATAACTTTTTAATGCTTATTCATTGCTATGGTATATTTTGTGAATGTTAATCACCTTGATCATATTTTTCAGTGGTGTATGTCCTTCTGAAATCTTGTGCACAAAGAGAGTTTCCAGAAGCAGCCTGATATAATGTAAACAGTGACAGATGCAGGCCAAACTGCAGAAATAATCAAGAATAAAAAATAAACATTTTTTTTAATCGGATGCTATTGTAATCTCAAATCTAATTTATTGTAGTTCAAATCTAATCTATCATAGCAAAGAATCAAAACAACTTGCTATGATCCATTTGCTTAGTAGCTTATTCTCTTTGTTTCTCTCTCTCTCTCTTTGTGGATTTGTGCCAAGCACACATTTTTGTGTCTATATAAATAAATCTTAAATATAGGCACTCTTACTTACTGAACCACAGGATGCCGTAAACATCTTGCACTTTCTTTTGCATCGTAAACAGTTGAGAAGCGAAAATAAAACAGCAGATAGATTAGAAGAGGACCTGTATATTCAGTTAGAAAAACCTGAAAAACACAAAAAACAAAAAGGAACAGAGAAAAATTGGTTAATACAATGAGAACAGTAAAATAAGGACTATATTCCTGAGAAATGTTTTATAGCTCTTTCAGCAAAAGCCAAGAGGTCATGACTTACCACACCTCCTTGCTCTAGTCCTTGAAACATTACAGAGTAGGCCAATCTAAATTTGCTCTTTCATTGTAGCCAGGGTCCGCTTTGTCCCAAGCATTAGGCCAGCAAATGTATTAACAGCTCACTATGGGATAAATTAAAGTGCAAGGATTGATGGAGCAATTCACCTATTGTCATCCTCAAAGTCAGCTGATGACTTTGATAATAAATTTACCTTGAATTCCTAAATATGTCAAAAAGCCTCTATACAATATAGACTCTCTAATGGGTATATACATAAATCCCTCTCCTCTGAGAACTTTTTAGTAGATGCAGTGTAGGAGTTGTGGTCTCTATTCAATTGTTGATTTAGATTCCTTGGTTGAAAACAATTTGTCCTATGATGCAGTATTTCACCCAGTCAGAATTTACAGACACAAGAGCTTAGTAGGTATAATCAAAACACTGTTTTATTTTTTTTAAATGCAATTGTAATAATATCAATAGAAATTGATATTCACTTCAAATATTCTGTTTGAATCAATGAGGCAGAGTTACAATCATATAACAAGTTGTTATTAAGAATAAAAATTTGACAACTAAAAATATGGCTTTAGAGAAAAGGATATCAATTGCTCTTCCATGGAACAGTTATGTCCCACAAAAGATCTGCCATATCAGAGAGACACAAGCAAATGTCAGAAAGTAGTATATAGCTATGTAGCCAGATGTCCACCTATGTAGCCATTATCACCAGGGACAGTCAGTCTCCATTTCTACCAGCAACATGTGCCATTGTTAATCAGGTTGCTCCAGCCTGTCTCTGTTATGCACAAAACAGGCATTTGAGATTTTAAAGTAAGCATTGTCTCAAGCTCATGTTAAGGGACTTCCCAACCTTGAGAAATCTTTCTCGACTCAAG